GATCCTTCTCAAAAATAGATCATATATTATGTCACAGGGCAACTCTTAGACAATATAAAGGAGTAGAGATAATACCATGCATCCTATCTGATCATAATGGAATGGAACTGAAAATCAACGATAAAAGAAGGAAGGAAAAAGCATACATCACTTGGAGAATGAACAATAGGTTACTGAATGATCAATGGGTTATAGAAGACATCAAGGAGGAAATTAAAAAATTCTTAGAGATTAATGAAAACACAGACACAACATATTGGAATCTATGGGACACATTGAAAGCAGTTCTAAGAGGAAAATTCATTGCTTGGAGTTCATTCCTTAAAAAAAGAAAAAACCAACAAATAAATGATCTCATACTTCGTCTCAAAATCCTAGAAAAAGAAGAGCAAAACAACAGCAAAAGAAGTAGAAGGCAAGAAATAATTAAAATCAGAGCTGAAATTAATGAAATCGAAACAAAAGAAACAATTGAAAAAATTGACAAAAGTAAAAGTTGGTTCTTTGAAAAAATAAACAAAATCGACAGACCCTTAGCCATGCTAGCGAAGAGAAGAAGAGAGAGAACTCAAATTACTAGCATACAGGATGAAAAAGGCAATATCACAACAGACACTTCAGATATACAGAAGATAATCAAAAATTATTTTGAATCCTTATACTCCAATAAATTAGAAGATAGTGAAGGCATCGATAAATTTCTTAAGTCATATGATCTGCCCAGATTGAGTCAGGAGGATATAGACAACCTAAACAGACCAATATCAATTGAGGAAATAGAAGAAACCATCAAAAGACTACCAACTAAGAAAAGCCCAGGACCGGATGGGTATACAGCAGAGTTTTACAAAACCTTTAAAGAGGAACTAATACCAATACTTTTCAAGCTACTTCAGGAAATAGAAAAAGAGGGAGAACTTCCAAATTCATTCTACGAGGCCAACATCACCCTGATACCTAAAGCAGACAAAGACACTTCAAAGAAAGAAAACTACAGACCAATATCTCTAATGAACCTAGATGCAAAAATCCTCAATAAAATCAGGCGAATCGGATACAAAAACATATCAAAAAAATTGTGCACCATGATCAAGTAGGATTCATCCCTGGGATGCAAGGCTGGTTCAATATACGGAAATCAATAAATGTTATTCACCACATCAATAGACTTAAAAATAAGAACCATATGATCATCTCGATAGATGCGGAAAAAGCATTCGACAAAGTACAGCATCCCTTTATGTTCAAAACTCTAGAAAAACTAGGGATAACAGGAACATACCTCAATATTGTAAAAGCAATCTATGCTAAGCCTCAGGCTAGCATCATTCTGAATGGAGAAAAATTGAAGGCATTCCCTCTAAAATCTGGAACAAGACAGGGATGCCCTCTCTCTCCACTTCTCTTCAACATAGTTGGGAATCAACCTAACAAAAGAGGTGAAAGACTTATACAATGAAAACTACAGAACCCTAAAGAGAGAAATAGAAGAAGATCTTAGAAGATGGAAAAATATACCCTGTTCATGGATAGGCAGAACTAACATCATCAAAATGGCGATATTACCAAAAGTTCTCTATAGGTTTAATGCAATGCCAATCAAAATCCCAACGGCATTTCTTGTAGAAATAGATAAACCAATCATGAAATTCATATGGAAAAATAAAAGACCCAGAATAGCAGAAACAATGCTAAGCAGGAAGTGTGAATCAGGCGGTATAGCGATACCAGACTTCAAACTATACTACAGAGCAATAGTAACAAAAACAGCATGGTACTGGTACCAAAACAGGCGGGTGGACCAATGGTACAGAATAGAGGACACAGAAACCAATCCACAAAACTACAACTACCTTATATTTGATAAAGGGGCTAAAAGCATGCAATGGAGGAAGGATAGCATCTTCAACAAATGGTGCTGGGAAAACTGGAAATCCATATGCAACAAAATGAAACAGAATCCCTTTCTCTCGCCATGCACAAAAGTGAATTCAAAATGGATCAAGGAGCTTGATATCAAATCAGAGACGTGCCGTCTGATAGAAGAAAAAGTTGGCTACGATCTACATATTGTGGGGTCGGGCTCCAAATTCCTCAATAGGACACCCATAGCACAAAAGTTAATAACAAGAATCAACAAATGGGACTTACTCAAACTAAAAAGTTTTTTCTCAGCTAAAGAAACAATAAGAGAGGTAAATAGGGAGCCTACATCCTGGGAACAAATCTTTACTCCTCACACTTCAGATAGAGCCCTAATATCCAGAGTATACAAAGAACTCAAAAAATTAGACAATAAGAGAACAAACAACCCAATCAACAAATGGGCCAAGGACCTGAACAGACACTTCTCAGAGGAGGACATACAGTCAATCAACAAGTACATGAAAAAATGCTCACCATCTCTAGCAGTCAGAGAAATGCAAATCAAAACCACCCTAAGATACCATCTCACTCCAGTTAGATTGGCAGCTATTATGAAGTCAAACAACAACAAGTGCTGGCGAGGATGTGGGGAAAAGGGTACACTTGTACATTGCTGGTGGGACTGCAAATTGGTGCAGCCAATTTGGAAAGCAGTATGGAGATTTCTTGGAAAGCTGGGAATGGAGCCACCATTTGACCCAGCTATTCCCCTTCTCGGTCTATTCCCTAAAGACCTAAAAAGAGCATGGTACAGGGACACTGCTACATCGATGTTCATAGCAGCACAATTCACAATAGCAAGACTGTGGAACCAACCTAGATGCCCTTCAATAGATGAATGGATAAAAAAAATGTGGCATTTATACACAATGGAGTATTACTCTGCATTAAAAAATGACAAAATCATAGAATTTACAGGGAAATGGATGGCATTAGAGCAGATTATGCTAAGTGAAGCTAGCCAATCCCTAAAAAACAAATGCCTAATGTCTTCTTTGATATAAGGAGAGTAACTAAGAACAGAGTAGGGTCGAAGAGCATGAGAAGAAGATTAACATTAAACAGGGATGAGAGGTGGGAGGGAAAGGGAGAGAGAAGGGAAATTGCATGGAAATGGAAGGAGACCCTCAGAGTTATACAAAAGTACATACAAGAGGAAGTGAGGGGAAAGGGAAAAATAATACAAGGGGGACAAATGAATGTCAGTAGAGGGGGCAGAGAGAGAAGAGGGGAGGGGAGGGGAGGGGAGGGGGGATAGTAGAGGATAGGAAAGGCAGCAGAACACAACAGACACTAGTATGGCAATATGTAAATCAATGGATGTGTAACTGATGTGATTCTGCAATCTGTATATGGGGTAAAAATGGGAGCTCATAACCCACTTGAATCAAAGTGTGAAATATATCAAGAACTATGTAATGTTTTGAACAGCCAACAATAAAAAATTAAAAAAAAATAAAAATAAAAATTAAAAATTAAAAAAATGCTTTTTATGTTATTTTATGTAGGTACCATGACTTACCTAACCAGTACCCTACTGAAGAACATTCAGGTGAGTTCCATTTTTTTGCTATTACAAATAAGGCTGTGGTGTATGATCTCGTACATACCATTTTGTACTTAAGCAAGTGTACCTGTAAGATCAATACTTCAAATGGAATTTCTGGGTTTTAAAAGAGTATGTGCATGTGTGAATTTGATAGATGCTGCTAAATTACCCTTCATAGAAGTTTTACCAATGTATACTGCAAAGTATTAAAGTCTGACTTTCTAAAATTCACAAAAGAACCACAACATATACATAGGATGTAACAGTGACAACTTACTCTGACCCAGTGGCCATGTGCCAGTTGGACTGCTTGGGTTTTATTGGCTATCTTTTGGGGTGGGAAATTTGAAACTCTTTTGTAGATTAAGAGTTGTTTAGTTTCACAATTCTAAAGTGAAACATCACATTAAGGATGTTTCTAACAAATCAAGTGTTATTTACTAGCTGTGTTTCAGACTGTCAGAACATCATGATGAAGTTAGGTTTGGTGATGGGTTTATTCTTTCAATATTTCAAACTGAATATATATGTGATATGTATATACAAGTACTTTTTTTTTTTAGTGTTGTGATCAAAGTTGGAGCCTCACAGGCTGGGCAAATGCTCTACCACTGAACTACATCCCCAGCCCCTAAAATATCTATTTAATCTGTGGTTCTCAAACTTCTGTTCTTAGACCCCCCTTATTCTCTGAAAAATTACTGAAGACTCCAAAGTACTTCTATTTATACTGGTTAAATATATAGATGTTTTACCATATTTGAAAGCAAAATTGAAATTTAAAAAAGATTTCCATTACATGTCAACATAAATAACATTTTTGTAAAAATTAACTATTTTCCAAAAAAATTAGTGAAGAGTGGTATTTATATATATATATATATATATATATATATGTGTGTGTGTGTGTGTGTGTGTGTGTGTATGTGTGTGTGTGTATACACACACTGCAAATCTGGCTTAATAGATGACAGATGGATTCCTCTGTCTGCTCTTCTGTATTTAAGCTGTTGTAATATCACATGTCTTATAGCCTCTGGAAAATTCTACTGCATTCTCATGAGAGAATGAGAAACAGACTACTAACATTCTTAATATTATTATTAACATATTTTCATATTGTTTACCTCTGAAAGGGTCTTGAGGATTCAAAGAAGTCTCTAAACTACAATTTGAGAACAGCTGGTATAGATTAGTTTTATGATGCTTTATTGTTCTTATCCTCTAAATATTTAATTTTTGCTAAATTTATTTGTCATAGGCCAAGAGGCCTGTGAAACTGTTCAGAATTTTTGTTGATTTTCTTCTATGCTGAAGTGTTTGCTTTATGTAATGGTGATCATGTATAATTGGGTACATAAACATATTCAAGGCAGTTATGCTTCGTATACTTTTATTTATTTTTTTTAGTAGTTTAAAACAATAACAATCTTTTTTCTCTCTTATAAATGTGAAGTTAGAGCAGAGCTCACGAGATAGGGGAGGCTCATCTCTGCTCCACACAGCATTAGTTGGGGCAGCTCACCTGAGGGCTGAAGAATCCATTCCCAACATGCACACTCACATGGTTGGCATGTTGGTGCAGGCTGTCAGCTGGAGTGCAGATGGGTCCAAGTGCTGGGAACCTCCATTCCTCTCGGTGTAGGTCTCTCCACCTGGCCTAGGCCTAGGCTTCTTCACAGCAATGTGGCTGGGTTTCCAGGGGGAACATTGCAAGAAAGAAAAGGTTAGTCTTTTCCAAAGTAAGGTGCTTAAAATTCAGTTCTAATATTAACATGGTAACGTTTGTTTCAGAAAACCTCAAATATAGTTGTACCATTAGTTTCTATATCTTTGGTATGTTTTTGACACAGAGAAAGCTTAACCCGTAAATCATGGCCAAGTATATTCAGAACAAATGGTCAGGTATTTACATCCTGAGGTACAGGCTCCTGGCTGGTGATGCACTCCCTGGCCCTGGGCTTTCAGTCCCCAACTGCTGCACCATGGTGTTCCCTGGCATGGTACCTTGATGCTGCACTGTTCACTTGAACACGTTTTCTCCTGCCCAGGTCCACTCTGTTCGAATGTGGATCTATGCTTTCTTGACCCCAGCCTGGCAACTCCTCATGAATAGGGGCTAAGTTATTTACCTGATGGTTAGCTGGCTGGGGTTTCTCTTGGATGGTTACCAATGATGAAAGTTTAGTACAAAAGACCCTGGTTCTTTCCCTGAGTAGTGCTATTTCCTGAACTCAGTGGAACCTCTCTCTGTGGAACTGGGCTGCTATGGTATAACCTTTCTTTCTCTGCCTCAATACCAGATATGCCTGTTTACCCCTCTACCATAAATTTCACCCCCCCACCCCAATTTCCAGGAGGTGATGGGCAGTGCCAAGGTTCATGAGCTGTGAAGTTCAGCTCCAAACTTAATGTTCAAATAGGCTAAAATTTGGATAGGTCTGACTTTTTGCATTACAGGGAATCCCTAGTAAGGCATCTTGCAAACATTATAGGTAAGTATGGTGGCTATATTTATTGAGGTAAGGCACCAAAAGAGCCATAAAAAGCATGCATGGGGTAGAACTCAGGTTTCATGTGCCCAAATGACACAATAACCAAATTCTATTGCCCACTGCTGACCACAGATCCATACACAGATCTGGGGTGTTATCAAGGAAATCTTTATTATCACTAGATTACTCTCAAGAAGCTAATTAATATTTGGGGGAACAGAGAAGAGGCCTGAAGAATCATCAGAGGGAAGAGAATAGTGCATGGGAAACACAGATAATCAGACCCATTACCCCACTCAGAGCCAAGCACAACTCCCACAGAGAACTAGCCAACTGGTGACATGGCAACACCTATGCATAAACTAAAAGGAGCAGTGGCATGCAGCAGTTCTCCATGAGCCAACTGGCCAGGAAATAAAAGCTACCCAATAACAGAATTCTGTGCTTGGAGTCAAGGGGGTTTGCATTCTGACATGGTGAGGCTGTTCACCATACCCAGGGTAGACATCATTTTGAAGAGGAGAGTGAATGATCAACACTACAGTATTAACCACAGTTCAGTACTCCATGTTTTTGTCCTTTTGGTGTACAAGTCTATGGCACTCACTTGTAGGATGGCTTAGGTGAGTACTGTATTTCTGTGTAACAAATGAGGAAAACAGGCCCAGGTACATTAAGTGAGTGCCTGATTGGAAAAAGACAAAATCACACTCAAGTCTTTACTCCTAATCCGGTGCTTTGACCACTGCTCCAAGGTGGATTATGTGGGTGAGAAGCTGGAGGCAGTGGAACAAGCAGAGCACTGGCAGAGCCACTGCCAGAGGCTGACAGACTTCACAAGGCAAATAACAGAAGGGGAGGAAAGCAGGGCAACCACAGAGGGAGGATGCTACTGACAGATGTGGGAGTTAGTGGGAAGACTGGCACAAGTATCAAGTTTGTGTTGGGAGGAGGGAAATCAGGGTGGAGAAGTGGGAGCAGGGCCAGATGAATCACTTTGATATGAGGGTGGGCCGAAGGCACCACTGTGGCTTCATGAGAACCAGAGTAACAATCAAAGTGGGGCTTGGGGAGATTAATCTAGCCTGGACACAGGATCAGAGTGGAAGAGTTGAAAACAGGCAACCCCAAATGTCTTCTTTGATATAAGGAGAGTAACTAAGAACAGAGTAGGGACGAAGAGCATGAGAAGAAGATTAACATTAAACAGGGATGAGAGGTGGGAGGGAAAGGGAGAGAGAAGGGAAATTGCATGGAAATGGAAGGAGACCCTCAGGGTTATACAAAAGTACATACAAGAGGAAGTGAGGGGAAAGGGAAAAATAATACAAGGGGGAGAAATGAATGACAGTAGAGGGGGTAGAGAGAGAAGAGGGGAGGGGAGGGGAGGGGAGGGGAGGGGGGATAGCAGAGGATAGGAAAGGCAGCAGAACACAACAGACACTAGTATGGCAATATGTAAATCAATGGATGTGTAACTGATGTGATTCTGCAATCTGTATATGGGGTAAAAATGGGAGTTCATAACCCACTTGAATCAAAGTGTGAAATATGATATATCAAGAACTATGTAATGTTTTGAACAACCAACAATAAAAAAAAAAAAAAGAAAGCAGGCAACCCAATGAGGACACTGTTGTGATAAACCAGGGCTGGGGTAAGTCTTAGACGATGATGGAAATGGCCAAGGAAATAATAAGGAAACAATGAATTCACAAGACAAAAATAAGATATCCCAGGATTTAGTAACAGATCAGCCATGAGAACCAAAAGTACAGAGTTTAAAACTTCTACAACCTCTGAGGGTCTAGAAAAATAATGGGCTTATTAGAACAGAAAATTGGTGCCTTTATTTTAGAGATGTCAGAGTTGAAGTGACAGTGGAAGACGGACAGATAAACAACTTGAAATTTGAGAATACATGCCAGCTATATAGCTAAAGGTCAATCTTCTGCAGAGAAGGACTTTTGAAGCACATGATGAAAATGAGAAATGTTATTTTACATACAAAATTTTCTATAATCATGAAAATCAACATATAGCTTTCTTTCATATGATTTTATTACTTATAAAAACAAGTTATGAAAAATATTTTCCTTTTAGAGATATAGAAACTACAATCTTTGCAAAAATATACACACCCATAATTGTTACAACACATAGCCTTGTATACACCTTGGACATTAGAAGTGTTTAAGAATCATACCCTGTAAAAGTTGGAAGAAGAAATGTTTTCTTTAACTTTAGTCATATATGGTGTCATTCAAGTACTAAAGCCACACTGTTGAAATAAAACATGTCTCTAGAATATAGGTCCAAAGGGATTTAACTTTCAAGATCCTATAGATTCTTTTATTTTGCAAGGTAGAAAACTGGAATTAATCCATCTTAGGTAGCTCCAGGTGTGGTTCATTTTCCCTATATTTTTTTCATGACACTATGTGGGGGGAGGCCATGAAAACCCATCTTGGGCAGATCTCCTCTCTGTCATCTCTAATCTATGGAGCATGGCTCCTATATGATGATTTCTAAGATACTTTTGAGCTCAAAAATGCTCAGATTTTTAAATTATCCACAGTACTTTCAAAATGATACTTTCACAAGTTTTAATTCCAATATTGCAAGTTAGGTAAAAGTTGATTGAGCTGACTCACCTAAAGAGAGACTTCATTTAGCATTTGTCAGGTGAAAAGCATTAGTTAACTAGATATCCAAAAGCCTAAAGTTCCCTTTTGGAATTACTGGAAAAGGTCTTTTCTCACCAAAGCATAAATCCCAGAAATCAAATTCCTTACTTTGGAAGAATTGTAATGAGAGGGTGGGAAAGAACCTTTAGCCTTTCTACTCAACAGCTTAAGATAATGATAGATGATGTATCTGACACAGTAAGCGTTGGAGGCCACTAAAGGTTCATGTGCATGTATTTCCTATATTGGGACTAACCTGCCACACTTTCCTAGATACCCAATTCTTTCTTCAACTGGAGAATATTGGCCAGAAGATGCTCCAGATAAAAAAAAATGTATTCTTTGAATTCATGATGTATCGTGGTGCAGCTTGATAGTTAACATCATGCTGAAACACTAGAACTTCCCAGTGATTTTTTTTTTCTATGTAAGAAACTATAAAAGTCAATGAACTGTGGGGTTCACAGGTCATTACATTTAATGTATAGCATAAGCATTATTACATATAATCTCATAAAGGAAAAAAGACTAAGTTTAATAGTAGAACTGCATTTTTAAAAGTTACTTAAAGTCTATAGTCCAAAGATAGTGATTCAGTAGGTAAGGGAGATACCTATTAGGATAAACCTAATGAAACTCAGTGTTGTAAGTTAAAATAGTAAAATCTTGGCAATATTATAGGTTTCAACCTAATAAGATCCTGAGAAAATTTTATTTGGCATCACACTATAAATTCAAGGAGAATTTATAGAAAAATCACATCTCAAGTGAGAAGAAAACACTTCAGGATAGAAGTGTGCACACTGATCATGCCAAGATTTTGCTCTTGTGATTTAAAGACTGGAAATCTTGGAATGTTTAAAAAAAAATAGTGCAGTGTCAAAAAAAAAATAATGCAATGTCAAAAAACAAAAAAGAGGACAGAATTATAAAATGATATCTACAGTTGCTAATGCCAATGAAACAGAAAATTACTGACCAAATTTGGTCATTTAAAGACTTTTTAAAGGTTACATATAAAAACTCCACCATCAAAATGAAAAGGCACAAATGAGTTAAAAGTATGATTGGTAATCATTTATAAAATCCTCAAAAATAAGGCCAATTCATTTGACTATTAATACCAATAAGTAGGCACCTATACCAAACTTCAGTTTTGGCATCCTAAATGGAATTATGTTGCAAATGAATTGTTAACATAATACTAATGATAGCAGCATTATCAATAAGTTTCTTAGGCTCTACACAGCTAAAATAATTTCTAAAATTTCCCCACTCAAATCCCATCAGTACCAAAAATATGTTTAAAAATTATATATTATTAAGAGTCATAAATTTTTTTGCAGTTTTTCTTCAAATAATGAGCTCTCTTCTCATCAAGGCCACCTCAACAACAGCAAAAACAAAACAGAAAACTACCAAAAAATTTTGCTAGACTACCCAGGCTAGCTATTCTTAATTAAAGACATACCATATCCAAAAATGGTACTTTATTTATGAAATTTATTAAATATAATCAATTAATAATTGCAAATTTCCAGGTGTGTGTGTGTGTATTTGAAATGGTTGATGGTGTACTTGAAAAAAATATCAATTTCAGCAATGATGCTTCATTTGGAACTCTGGAACCATCTACGAATGGCTGCTCCAGCACTACTGGCTACTACACAGAAAGCACCACCCACTGTCCACCAGCTTGGTATGTCATTAAAGAAAATAATTTGAAAGATAAAAGCAAAGACCACATCCATTGTCTTCATTAGTGCTACGGGTCCTGCATTTTCTATTTGAAGTGCTTTTGTGATAAATATCTGACCCCCCAAACCAAAGAACCCAATGAGTATAAGAAACAGCCTGTCCAAGCCACAGTAAGGCACACTCCATTCTCCTATTATAAAGAGGACGATGATGCTTTCAGTGAGGCCAAGTATGACATAATACCAAATGCTCAGAAAGTAGTCCACAGATTTTCCCATTTTTCTTAGGATAACTAGAGTCACCGCAGCAAACACGGCATGTCCGATTGCCGCAATCATTCCCTTAAGATGGACTGAATAGCTTTCTTCCATCCCCGAAGTGTCGGAACCAAACAAAAATGGTGGTCTCACGATAAGGATCACTCCAGTGATTGTGAACAAGGTGAAGAAAGCATCCCAAAGGCTATACTTTTCCTTGAGAAATATCCAAGCAAATAGAGATGTAAACACTGGGCAGCTAAACGTGATAACTGTGGCATCTGCGAGGGACGTTGTCTGGAAAGCATAGTATATAAGGATCATGGCAGTAGAACCAAAGACTCCTCTGAGAATGAGGAAAATTCGTTGACCTTTTGGACCTATAAACCCAGTTCTGTAAATTCAAATGAAGAAATGCATATTAAGTGAACTTGGTATTTGTTTTTCAAGCAAAATGTGTAAACATTTCAAAAGTACTAAATATCAAAAGGGAATAATAAATTAATCATAATATCTGCCACTGAATATTATATACCTTTAAAAAATGTTTTTTAAGTATAGCTAATGACATTAAAAGTGTTCACAGTACAAGCAAAAATAGCATACAAGAATCTCATAAACAATATAAATCAGTAAATATAGATATTATACATACATCTATAATTTTTATGTTTGCAAAAAAGATAAAAAGGAAAATAGGTTGGATGTTAATAGTTATACCTTAGCAGGTAGACTCATAATTTTCCTTATTTTCTCCAAAATTTTTATGATGAAAATGTGTCATTTTTATAATAAATATAATTTCAAAATTTATTAGCACTGTAAAGGGAAATTTGATCCTAGCGAATGTGCATTCTCAATCTCATGAGTTTTTCTATAAAAGTTGAAGCAAAGTGAAAATTTACTTTAGCCACTGAATGTGAAACAACTTTTTGTTATCCTTATGACAAAAGAGTTAAAATACATTACAAAAGCATGTGTAGTGTTTGGATAATATCCGGACAGCTCTGGATATTCAGAATTAGAAATCAAAGAGTGGCTACCCTCGGCCCATTTTTTGAAAAGCCAGGAGTTAGTCTTCTGTGATAGTGAAACATAAAATGTGTCAAAACAGATTAGGGCCAAAGATTTTAAGAAAACTCTTGTGACAATATTTTCATCCCAAAATGGAGAAGGTGGTTATGTTAGGCTCAGAGTTCTGTTGCCACTAGTACAAATTTCTTATCTTATCATCATTTATTTTCTTAAGTTATCAAGAGTTGCACATATTCACACTGGAAATCCTGATAACATTTATCTTAGTAGATTTTCACTTTTTGCAACAATTCCTCACTCAAGACATGGAGTGAAACTCTTCTAAGTGAATTGGCATCATGTTAGGAGACACAAGGAGACTTAGGTGGCAAACGGGTAAAGATTTTAATTTGGGGTTTAAGCATCTCTGCCCATAGACAGGGAGAGCCAGGCAGCCAGCTAATAGGGACCCACTGGCCTCTCTCCCAGGGTTCAAAGTACACTGGGGTGTGTGTAGGTTATAACAACCTGAGAACACATGATTTAATCCTGGGGAGAATGGGGGATTCCACAGGGAAGCCAAAGAGGTATTGGCAGGGATGGAGGGATGTGGGGGGAACAGTGAGGGGACAACAAATATAGTGTTCATATACTGTTATGTTCTACATACACAAAGCACTCTGACCTAGAATAAATCTTACTTGACTCTTGCAAACCACCTTGCAGGGCGGAATACAGAGTATCATTCCAAAGGAGGAAGCTGAATACGAAAGTAGCCAGAAAGACCTTGTTCAAGGTTATCCTTATCCTTATCGCTTTCTGGGGAAGACCTAAATCTTAAACTACTATGGCCTTGTGCCTACCCTGGTAAGAGAGCAGCCTGTTTCATTTAAAGAAACCTCTGACTCTAGGAGACACCACTACTTCCTTACCTTTACTTTTTTCCTTCCAAATACTAGTGATGCCAAAGGGAAGAAGGGAAGGTGGTACAAGGTGAGGGGAATTATATAGGGAAAGCCTTATTTTCAAAGCGGGGTAGTGGTGGTGAACGACTCTCTCTCCTCCTTTTGTGGACATGTGGTAAGCGCTTACAACAGCATCTTGTGTGGATAGATTCATGTGCCTTTTTACTTATCAGAGCTAAGGGGTATAGAAACTGGTAAATCTATGATAAAGCAGATACTGTAGAGAAAATAAGGCAGGTCAAAAGATTGACATACATTTATTAATAGCTTCTACTTTGCAGCTTTAAGAAATACTTACTTTCTGTATATTAAGCAAGGGATAATAACTAGCACTTGGAACACACATCGAAATGCACTAATTTCTACAGCATGGACGTCTTGTACTTTTTTAACAAATAAAGAGGCCACTGAGAAAAGGAAGGCAGACAATAATGTGTAAAACAAGCCAAGTCCAGGACAGGGTGCTTTCTTCTTGGTTTCTGAAAAAGATTAAATTCTGGTTAGTCCTTGCTTCCAAGTGTAATTTTTTTTTTTTTTAAATCATTTGCACTTAAAAATTGAGAAAAATGGAACTGTGTCAATGGCTAACAGACTACAAATACTTCCTTCTAAGCATATCCATTTTTTGGACCTGTACCATTTCCCCCATCAATTATGAAGAATCCCTAGATAAGGGCAACAATTTAAACCATTTAAAAAATACTGTTTCACCCTATAAAATGGATTTCCTTTGGCTTACTGAAGAATCACCCTCTCTTACAAGTCACGAAGCAAAAAGCTTGCCAAGGCAGTGAGAGAAATCTTCAAGAAACACTTGTCAAGATGGAAGTGAAAAATACTTCCCCTCTCCCTAGTGAACATGGCTTTTTGAAGAAAGTGTTCTTTTCTGGAAAACAGTTAATAACAGGGTTATCTGATCATTTGTTGATTTGGTGAGCCTGTGAGCTCCTCCAGGGCTAGGATCTCAGCTATCCTGTCCCTGCCTGGCAGATGGAAGACCCTGAATAAATATTTGGTGAAATCAAAGAATATGAGAGAACTTCACAAAAGACTTAAGAGTCTAACATGACTGGCAACAACATAACATGGGAAGGTTCTCTGTTGTGGAATCCTGAACTGTAAATCACATACGTAACATGGTTCACGACTCATCTTTCCAGTTGAGGGCAGGGGCTGCAGGGTCCCCAGTGCCCTCTGACTCCCAGGAGTTTTGCAGAGACTCACTTCATCTAATCCTTATTTCTTTGCTTCATCTGAACCAGGAAACTTGTGCTTTCTCCAGAGCATCCAGTGTTCAATCTGCTAATGACAATCTGTGTTTAGCCCCTTCTTGTCTTAGTTTCCTGTCACAGGAGTAGAACCTGCTTTCACTGTCACTCCTTGGTCAATGAAAGCAAACAGAGCAAGGTAAGCAGAACACTCCCTAAAAGACCACACACTGAGGACAAGAAGGAAATACAACTGACTGATGTCAGTTAAGAGCACACTGAACATGATGAGTGTGTGAACATGTACAATTTGCTGGAAAACTAGGATTATCATTTCAATCTAGGAAGGTACAATGTGTTACTCAGCTATAGAACACTATTGCAAACAATGTTTTTTTTAAAATGTCCTTCTCAACATCCTCATGTCAGTTAGATACCTTTGCCCACAAGTGACTAAAAATCAAGACCAAAGTGTGATGATGCAGTCCTTCCGGGGTCACTGTATAGCCTGACCTTTGTAGTCAAAGATACCCCCTCTCATCAGAGACCTCCACTCTTCCTCTTCTGCACATCTGGAGAGACTGCTTTGAAGCTAGCAACCATTAACTCTTATAGGTGCCAGAACCTTCTATGTTCTATTCTGTCCCTACATATTCAAATAGTGCAGAAGTGAACTGCATATGCCCACTCAGGCCATGAGAAGGAAGTTTTAGAGGACTTCCGAGTTAAGTACCACAAAATGCATGCCTTGCCTGTGGTCAGCCTTGGAGTTTAACTTCTGAAATTTCAGAATTCAGATCCAAATAAAACAGTTTTTCTTAAAAGCAACCCAGCCCACGATACATAGAAACTGTACCCTCAGAACAGAATGAGAAGGTCAAGGACAGAAAACATCTCCCTGCTCTATAATTCAAGGATGTCCTCCAACCTAAACTTGTCAATTTTTCTCCAGGAAAATTTCAGCTTAACATGATATTTAACTGTTTTAAAAGGTAATTTTACACTCTTGGATCTGATGATCTTTCCCTTTAAAACACATACACACTTTTTTTCTTTAAACCTATAAATACTTAAGGCTCATGTTTCCGGATTGGACAGGACAGATGTTAGAAGGCTTAGCTGAATCTGATTATTTGTTAATGAAGGTGAGGGATGAGGGTGAGGAATGGGTATACTCAGGCAAACCTCAGTCTTTTACTGAATAATAATTTCAATTCTGTCAATGGAGATGAGCAACAGGGTGGGATAACCCAGAGAGGTGTGTGCTCATGTAATGTATTTCCACGAGCACATGGAACATATCCAATAATGTGGCAACCCTAAATAATTCAAATTAAGTAAGTGTAATTTCCCAAAGGAAACTGAAAATTTGCTCAGCTCTTTGAGCCTCTGCTTTAAACTGGTGATCACAAATCTGGTTGGGAATTAGAATCCCCTGAGTAACTTTAAAAAACTCAATTCCCAAGCCCCACCCCAGACCCACTGAAACAGAACCTCTGGGGCTGTAAAAGCTCCATTATTTGAGGACCACTACTGGTCAACAGAACTCACTCCTTCCAGGAAGATACAAGGCCCAGTACTAAGCCAACTTCTCCCTGCTTCAGCCTAAGATCTACATTATTCCTGAAGAAAGCAAAAAGATCTCTTAGGACAGCTGTATACTGTCTGTTAGGGTCATGCAAGAATACAAGAAAAATGGGTAAGAATTCTAACCTGAACTTGAACATCAACATTGTTAAGATAACTACTTAGATAGAGTCTAAAAAGGAGACAGTCAAAAAGTTCCATGACAACAGTATAGTGGTTTAAAATACTTTTTATGACAATCTTCTTTTCAGATTGTTATCTGATTGCCTTACAATAACTATTACTAAGTCTTATTGTTAGGAATTTTCTTTGAAGTTAAAAGACACCACAAGATTCTTAGGTGTGCTCAACACAGGTTTGTCATTTTGCCATGTGCTAAGTATTCCTTGTTGATTCACAAAGAGGAAATGTTCATGACTTTGCAAGGATTGACTTAGGATTTATGACATTTAGCCACTGGCTGATAAGGTGAGAAACTGACCTCTTCAAGAGCTGCTCACTGACCAATTTGAGGTAACCTGGCTCTAGAGGTACCAGTGCTTGTATAAATGACCAAAAATCGGACAAGTTTCTATGAGCACTTAAGGAAGAAATGGAGCAAGAATCATCTTCCAGGGCTTGTCTCTCTAAATTGGGTAAAGTGCATACAGTGAGGAGGTAAAATTGAGGCAAAATTAAGATAAAGGAGATAAAATTAAGAGACACAGAAATCCCAGGTCACATTTAAGGGAGGAGATCCAGGAGATCTGGGGATGCAAACATTATAACTTGGTCTTAAAACGAGACCTCACTATGTTTCCTTCTAGGAAGCTGTGCCAGTGGAAAGGGCCTTGGGCTGGGTCTTTGACAAGCTGGGATCCTAAAGCTGGTGCTGCTCAAACCTGCAGTGTTTCACACAGTCAGACCTTGGAAGAAAAACAAAAACAAAACAAAACAAAACAAACTCTCCCCAAATCCTCACTTTCCTGGAACTCACTTTTCTTCTTTGTCAGAGACCAAGGGTTGTCACAGGGTAGAGGGGGGTGGGGTGCGGAAGGGGTTTCCTGTCTTTGAGGACTAGGAAATCCTTAACAGGGAGTTTTGCATAAGTTGCTAAAAAGTCCTCCTATTCTCCAAAGGTTAAGCACCAATGGTCCTACTCAACTTTGCCTTTCCAAGAGTCTAAGATTCTGGGACAAACACTTTTTTGGAGCAGACATGCTTTTCAACTTCCTCTTCGAGGAGTCGGGTTTAGGACCGAGATAAGTTTTTGAGGGTCAGCTTTCTTCTAACCTCGGCCTTGGCCTCTCTCGCTAACCTCCCACCTTCAACTTCCTCGGGGAGGGCACAACAAACAGCAATCTGACTCCAAGGTCCTGCCAGCAACACTAATTACAGGAGGAGCCTTAGAATCCGCAAAGGGTTGCGAACACAATCAGAAACTTTCTCCAGTCTTGGCGCCGGCGGGGGCACGGAGGGGCTTGTGCTTTGCAGCCCCCAGGTGACAGCTCGACGGTCTTCCCGGGCGCGCGGCGGAATGCTGAGGGAGGCGCGGTGGTCACTGTACCCTGTCTGCGGAGACCCCAGCCCCAGCCCGCCGGCCCCCGCCCGGCCCCCAGGTGAGACCCGCGCCCGGGCCGCACGCGCACTCACCGGGCTCCGCGCGAGAGCAGCACGGCGAGGATCTGCAGAGCCAGCATCTGCCGCCTCCGGGTGCCCCGGCTGCCTCGGCGTCCGCAGGCTCCTCGCTGGCGTTCGAAGGCGCGTGGTCGGTCAGCTGCAGCCCAGACTCCAGAAGCTCGGCAGGCTCCCCGGCGCGCTCCTGAGCGCTCTCTTGGGGCCCCATCTCGTGGCCCACGCTCTCCCGGCGGCCGGCGCGCCGTCTGGCGCCGACAGCAGCCGCTCGGCTGCCCTGTTCTTCCGGCCGGCTGTGGCGCTCCTGCGCATGCGCGCGCGCCCTCCCCACTCCCCTGCTCCCTTGGGACCGCGCTTCTGTCCTCCGCTGCCCTCTTGAGTGCTTCTCCCGGAGCTTCTTGCCCAGGGGCAGATCCGCCGCCTCCCTGGTGGGGCTGCGGTCAGGCTAGACGGGCCAGCGGCTTGGGACCATCCTTCCCAGGGCACACTGGTCCTCTCTCTGTCTTTGCACAGACAGGGAGGGACGCTGGGTTTCCAGCCCTGGCGCCGCGGGTCCCTGTGACCTTCTCTTGAGATTCAGAGATTGAGTATTTATGTATTGGTGTGGCACCGCGTTCCGCACCTTTGGGATACCCTGGAGACTGCAGAACACTGTGCCTGTCTTTAACCCACCAGCGGCTTGTTGTCTGTTTCTCTCTTATTGCTATTTTACTGGTTTGGGAAGTAATGTGTAATCATTGGGAAAAATATAGAAGGCGAAGCAGAACTCATTTAGGTGCTTTTTGCAATAGTTAGACACAACACATTATTAATCTGTTTTTTGTTGTTGTTATTGTTGTTAACTAAGGCATCCTGATTGAGTCAAATGTAAGATACAAATTATCTTATCTAGTAAGATCAAAGATACATGTCATTTGACCTCAGGATTCACTAACAGTCCCTTTATGCTGGTGTCTCTTTCTGTGTGTGTGTGTGTGTGTGTGTGTGTGCACGCCCGCGCGTGTGTGTTGGGTTACAGGGGTGGTACTGGGGATTGAACACAAAGACGCTTTACCACTGAGCTACATCCTCAGCCCTTTTTATTTTTTAATTTTAAGACAGGGTCTCACTAAGTTGCTTAGAGTCTCTTTATATTGCTGAGGCTGGCATGGAACTTGTGATTTTCCTGCCTCAGCCTCCTGAGCCTCTAGGATTACAGGCATGCACTGCTGCAGCTGGTCTCTTTATGTTTAAGTACTTCTTTTTTCATTCCTTTGCTTGCTCTAAATGTGACAGGACATTCTCTGGGCAAAGATGAAGGTGTGTAAGCCATTCTAGTCCAGTCTCCAAGCAAATTACCAAACAAGAGAGTGAGGTTTGCCTTTTTTCAGACATCTCCACAAATGGAAACAGTACTAGACTCTAGGAATCCTACATTCTGGCCTGAGTGTGTGACCTCAGACAGTCACAACTGTACCCCTTGAAGCCTTGATTAATATTCTTTATCAAATAGAGATGAAATGTTTCTCTTCCTACTTTACAGAGTTGCTCTGCAAATAATGTGTCATTAACAGCCCCTGGAAAACATTTTACTGGAAAATCAAGATGTATTTTTACCTAGGGTGAACATACAGTTTGTCCTTCAAACTGAAACTTCTTTTTTTAAGATTAAAAGGGTGAGCTCTTTTAAAACTTATGAGGACAATAGGCATAAACTGGGACTGTCCTAGGCAAACTGGGACAAATGGCCACCTGAATTCTAGCTAGATTCATATATATCATTGCCATGTCTGGAAAAAGAAGTTAAGGCTGATCAAAAATATATGCAACAGGGCTGGGGCTATAGCTCAGTGGTAGACAGCCTGCTTGCACGTGTGAGGCACTGGGTTGGATCCTCAGCACCACATAGAAATAAAAATAAAGATAGTGTGTCCATCTACATCTAAAAAATTTTTAAAAATAAATGCAACAGCTTTTGTTGTTGTTGCAGGGAGGGAGGGTTAGGGTGGTAGATCATGAATATGAAGGAACAACCAAAAAGCTTCTCCAAATATCAGGAAAGTCGGGTGCAGTTTCACAGTTGCATTCTAGGATGTAGATGTGAGGAGAGTCTGAAGAATCTCCCTCTTCAAATGATGAAGATGGTGGCTAGGGAGTGTGAAGAGGAAGAAAGGAAGTGCCTAACATGTAAGGCCCTGGGTGCCATCCCCAACAACCCCCCCCTCAAAAAAAAGAAAGAAAAAGAAAAAAGTGTGATGAATTGAGAAAGTGTCCTGACCACTTCATTTTCAATACCATCCTTAAAAAAGGAGAAGAATAAAAAAAGAAGGAAAGTACCATTGTGACTAAGATTTGGAGGCATAATTTCAGTATTGTAGTTTCTTTCCTTTAACTTTCTCCCCTTCCACTGCTGACCTTGAGAAATGAATGGTATCAGTCATATTCATTCTCCCATCTTAGCTAATCAAGAGCCATGCAGAAACAAAGACAACTGATAAGAAAAATATGAACCACACCAGAATCAAAAGTCATGGGCCTGCTGCAGCTTCTCCTAGGAGGCATGCAGACATTCTTCCTTGAGCTTTGTTATATCAGGGCTTTGGTGACAGTGACACGGAGTTGGTGAGGATGGATTTCACTCACCCTTATTGTGAAGGATGGGGGAGACCTGCTCTCAGCCAATTGTAACAGTCAGATGTTACATTCTGACCCAGGTAGAGGAGACAGGGAAGAAGGCTTGACTTTGAGGTGGCATGGAGATGGAACGGACAGGATTCACTGACTGGATGAGAAAGAGTATTGCATGAGATGTTCCAACTGAAACTCTTCTGCATCTAAAGGGATTCCGTCTTCCAGTGAGGACAGGAGCTCCCACCATGATGCCAGTAAGCATGGTGGGGGTGGCACTTCTGAGGTCAAGAAGCAAGACGAAAGCGGAGGAGAGATGGGTTCTACTTGTCCCTGTTAGCACCTGGAAGTCCATTGTCCTTGCCGTTCCCATGGCAACAGATGGAGACCTTCGTGTACTGCCAGAGTGAGCCTCCTGACTTCCAGTACTGTTTGCATGTCAAGGGTGTTCCCATGCGAGACATTTGTATATCAGGAACTGTCTTTTTTTCTAGTATGTCACTGCATGCCTACCAGACTGGTACCTGGGTACTGATTTGAAAGACTGTTTTTTTTTTTTATTTTTCAAAAAAGATCATAGTTTCTTACCCTTTCAATTAATGTACCTCATGACTCGGGACATAGAAATTTGTTCCAAAGAGTGCAGCCTGATGTTTATGTTTGGGGGGAAAAAATCAGTACTGTGAAACACAAGATCATACTTCTAAAAAACCTTGTTAAATGGAAGAGGGAACATGCAAAAGAGAAGTCTAAATGGATAAATGTAGCCTAGTATACCAGAGAGAGAGAGGAAAAATAAACTGTTCAGATAGTTGATATGAACTGACTCTGGAAATATAACAAGAAAAAAAAAGCCAGGAATAACTCCTCAAAACATTATACATAGAATCACCATACGATGTAGCAATTCCACTTTAGGTGTAGACCTAGAAGAATTGAAAGCATGAACTTGAACAGGTTTTTGGAATGCCCGGTACTCATAGTGTATATGCAAATGAAATAAACCAAACATAAAGGATAAATATCCTGTACTTATTAGAGGAGCCTAGTGTAGTCAAATCCATGGAGACACAAAGAATAGGGAGTTAGTGTTTAATGGATGTGGAATTCAGTTTGGGAATGGTGAAAGAGTTCTGTGGATGAACAGTGGTGATGGTATGTCACCATGTGAATGCACTAATGCCTCTGAATGTGTACTTAAAGTCGTTTAAAGGGTAAATTTTGTGTTATGTACATGTTATTAAAATTTTTTTTTAAAGGTTAAAAAAGTTGCCAGGGGAAACCCTTCTGAGAGTGTCATCGACAGATAATAAACCAGCAATGTGCATCCAGAGTTGAAGTTAACCTAGGCCTGCACTCACACCGAGGCATGCAAGGTATTTTCTTCAGCACCAGTCTTGCCCTTTCTTCAGCTCTGGCTCACAAAATGAAGATGAGCATAAAAGAAAGAAACAACTGGAAGCCAGGCATGGTGGTGCACGCCTGTAATCCCAGCAAGTTTGAGGCCAGCCTCAGCAATTTATCCAGATCCTGACTCAAAATTAAGAAAATAAAAAGGACTGGGGATGTAGCTCATTGGTAGAGCACATCTGGGTTCAATCCTCAGTGCAAAAGAAAATAGAATAGAAAAAGTAAAAATAATAGGAGAGGAGAGGCAGCATGGTATAGTGTCTTCCAGGCTCTTGAAACTTTCCTACCCAAGTGTCCCCAGTTGCTAAAAAATGTCAACTTGGAACTCTGGGGTCAGAATTTAAAGTCCTTATCAGATTTTTAAGTTTCTTTAAAGTCCTGTGTTCCAACTTAAAAATGCATGCCAATTTTCCTTTCTGGTCCCTGATATGTTTATCTTTATCTTCATACCATCTTTCATGTAACACATCTGACTAATGTTTGAATGCTTACATTGAACCATTTACAATTCCTGGCAGGCAGAGAGTGAGAAACAATAGAGGCAAGGTTCCCGACCTCAGGGAAGGGGAGAAGTATGCTGGAGGATGAAAAAAATGCTGGCATTATCTAGCAAAATTGCTGTTCCAGAGGGTGTGGGTCTGTCTTAGCTCTAGGCTTTTTGTCCTCTCCCAGTTTGAAGGATTGGCCTGGGAGTCCACATGCTGGGTCTGGGCTGGTGCAATACTCTGGATGATTCCCCTCTCTCTCCCAGCCTCCATTTCCTGAGTCACAGGGCTGCATCCCCAGCAATCATTGAGGGCTGGAGGTGCACCCTGCAGGCCTTGGCAGCTCCTTTTCCCTGTACCTGGGACTTTCTCCAGTTCTCCCTTGTTTTCTTACCCTTTGGTCTGTTCCCACACTGCAAAAGGTAACTCCTGTATACATAAATGATTTCTGACACCCCAGGGAACCTCTGTCCTCCTCTGAGAACTTTTTGTTTACAGATTCTCTGAGAGGGAGCATGCCTGAGCTTTTGACTTGGCCCCAGATGATTCTACATAATCCACTGTAACCTCGGATTTGTTGTGATTTGAGATTTGGATTCCACTCAGCTCTTGTTTTAATAACTACCATTTATGAAACACTCAAAATATGCCACGCACTATTAAGTATGTTGACTCTTTTAATCCTCCTGTGAACTTTACCAGGCAGTTGAGCATAATTGTTAAAAGCAGGACTCTGGAGTCAACTGCTCTGGGTTCCCATCTTGGGTGCTCCACTTATCAACTATGTGACTTCAGAAAAGAGATG